GAGAGAGAGAGAGAGAGAGAGAGGGAGGGAGGGAGGGAGGGAGAGAGAGAGATCAGTTCTCCAGGAGATAATGGAGGACGGATTCTGCCGTATCCTACCCTGCTGAGGTCCCTCCCCCTTGGCACCCCCCACGTTCCCTAGGCTCCGTCCCCCAAATCTCTGAGTATTTCCAAACCCAGAGCTGCCAACCCTAAAAAAATCCATAAAAGAGACCTCAGATGAGAAAAAAGACCACCAAACAGCTATAAAGATAAAACTCCTGAGTGAAAAGCCCGGGTAAAAAGGAAGTGTTTCGGCCTGGTACCTACAGGACTATATGGTTGGCATCAGGTGAGAATGAGGAGGAAGAAGAAGAAGAAGAAGAGGAGGAGGAGGAGGAGATTGGATTTATTCCCCGCCCTTCAGTACCCGAAGGAGTCTCAGAGTGGTTCACAATCTCCTTTCCCTTCCCCTCCCCACAACAGACACCCTGTGAGGGAGGTGGGGCTGAGAGAGCTCTGACAGAAGCTGCTCTGGAGAGAACAGCTCTGAGAGAGCTTGTGACTGACCCAAGGTCACACCAACAGCTATATGTGAAGGAGTGGGGAATCAAATCCGGTTCTCCCAGACTGGAGTCCGCGCTCCCCACCACTACGCCAAACCACTACACCAAATCCACAGATGAAGGACGGCTACCGAAAATGCCCTGTTTCTAGTCACCATCCCCCTCAGCTCTGCAGATCTGAACCAGAGAGACCAGATCTGAACCAGAGAGAACGCAGTCGCGGTTTGGCTTCACAACTTAAGGAGTAGCCAGTCCATTCTCAAAATCACTGTCTACCTATGAAAACAGTCCCAAGTCCCTACAGACAACGTTTTAAGTACAGGAGTGGGTAATTGGTTTTCAAGCATCTCTTCAGCCTTGGATTTCAACCCAGTACATGAATTGACTCCAGGAGGAGGACTGATGGACCAGGGGTGGGGGGGTGGATGGCTTTAGAAGAGAATTCAATCTAGGCTTGGCACTGAATAGGGGACGCTGTGGTTAAGACGCTGAACTGCAGGCTCTGGAAGGTCAGTAGTTCAGCAGTTCAAGACCCGAGTGTGCCGCATGACGGAGTGAGCTCCCATCTCTAGTTCCAGCTCCTGCCAACCTAGCAGTTCGAATGCAAGAAGAAATTGCAAGTAGATAAATAGGTACCATTTTGGTGGGAAGGGAACAGCGTTCCGTGTGCCTTGGTGTTTAGTCATGCCGGCCACATGACCGCGGAAACGTCTTCGGACAGCGCTGGCTCTTCGGCTTTGAAATGGAGATGAGCACTGCAACCCTAGAGTTGGACTTGACTGGCTTTCGAGCAAGGGAACCTTTACCTTTAACAAACCCCCAAGATGGATGATACCAGATCTTAGAGGTGAACTTATTATATAGCAGGGGTGGAAGAAGGACCTCCGGGCATCTCCTCCTAGAAAATGTAAGTGTGATCAGCTGGCATAAAGAGATCCCATTTCAAAAATGTATTAGTGCACAGAATTAAGTCTAAAAGATGGCTCCCTTAGAACATCACCTCGTGTAATGGAACGGGCTTGCTTGCATTTCACTTCTGCCAGATGTAAAGGGTTTTGTTTACTTATTTTTTTTGGGGGGGGGACTATGTGGTGCCTCTCTAGAGACCTGCTCATGGAGTAAAACATGGCAAAAATGATTTTAAAAAATCATCAAAACCATTACTATTCACAATAAAAAAAATCCAGCTGTCAAAAACAAAACTAAACTGTAAAACAGCCAGAGCATAGAAACAATACAAAACCATTAGCAGTGTATAATGATCCTCATAAAACAGTTCTCAGAAGCAGACTCTAAAGGCAATTAAAACTAATGTGAGCCCCTTTCAAATTTAGAAGAAGAGAAGAGGAGAGATTGGATTTATACCCCGCCCTTCACTACCCAAAGGAGTCCCAGAGCGGCTTACAAACTCCTTTCCCTTTCCCTCCCCGCAACAGACACCTTGGGAGGTAGGTGGGGCTCTTTCGAGGACTGTTCTTGAGAGAACAGCTGTGAGAGAACTTGTGACTGACCCAAGGTCACACCAGCAGCTGCATGTGGAGGAGTGGGTAATCAAACCCTGTTTTCCCAGATTAGCGTCCGCACTCTTAACCATTACACCAAACTGGCTGATGACCGTGGTCGAACTCATCTTAACAAGGAGGAAGACAATTGCACTCGCTCAAGGACTGCAGGGTTTGGGCCTAGTCTGATGGAATGACACACACAAAAATCAAGGCCTTCCCCAGCTGCGGAAGGGAAGCAGGGTCTATGTAGTGTTGGCCCCTATGACTGTATAATGTATCTAATCCAGGCTACATTCCTCTAGAGATGTTTCTCAAAAAAAAAACCCAGAAAAGCAGAATTTAAGAAATGGTGGGAAGACCATAAAAAGGAAGATGGCATTAACGAATCACATTGCACCCAAAGCGGCACGCCACTAGAATACTCACATCACTTCCAGTCGCGCCACTCTGGAATCGTTCCCTCCAAAGGAAGTGACCTCGCACGTGTAGTCTCCAATGTCGCCGGACCACGTCTGGCTAAGGATGAGGGTCCCGTCTGTCTCGATGGCGATTCGGGAGCTGCTAGATGGATTTATGACAACGTTGTCCTTCTTCCAAACATACCTGATTGTCACAGTATTTCAGACCGTTAAAGTCAGCTGTCTATTGCGTTAAAAAATGATGAATATCAAGTGCTGAAATCATATGGTAAAAAAAAACAGAGCTGAATAATTACGCAGAAGACCGATATTCGCTAACAATCTTCCAGGGGCTCATTTGGATGCAGGGAATGTCTGACAGGCCTGCAATGCTAATAAAACGTACCATGGCTCAAGCTGAAGGGTGCAATTCTACTCCTCTGGAATCAATGGCACATTTCCCATTGATTTTTTAACAAAGGCGGTTTGGCGGAAAGAATAGCCCGAGTGAGCTGGGCTGGGTTTTCTCTTTTCAGGCCCTAGGTGCCAGAGAAACAAAAGGGGAAAGGCCATTCCGTTTTTCTAAGCTGTTGTCTTCCCCACTGTCGTTTTAGCTGTGCAACAGCAGATCAACGGGCGGCATTTGTGCTGGGCTCCGCATACGGTTGCCAGGTCTGCCTCTGGCAACCGACCACCACTCCTCGCTTGGGCTTCAGGAGCAAGACAAAGTTGTCATCCTGTCCAGTGTGACACTACTTCGGGGGGGGGGGAACCGGAAGTGCTGTCACGTCACCCTGGGGATCAGTGGAAACTATGGTTTTACCCAGGGGTCATTTCCTGCCGGAGCGCACAGGAGCAGAGCTCCGGCAGTAAAGAGCCCAGGGGGCAGGCACATGGAACAAGCCCCGCCCCCTGCTCCCAGCAGCCCTCAGTCAGGGCAAGAAGCAGCCAGGTAAGTTGCAGAGCACCCCCCTGGTCCAAAACAGTCCAGTGGTACCTTTAAGACCAAGTTTTATTCAGGTCCAAGCTCTCCCTCCTCTGCGAGGACAGATCTGCACGTCCCCCCCCCAATAGCTAGCAATCCAACACAGTCCAGTGGAGCCTGAGTGGTGGGTGTTGCCTTCTGACACACTTCTGGTGATGTCAGGGTATGTGGCATATGCAAATAAGTTATGCTAATGAGTTGTGCTAATGCGCTCCTGTACCTCTTTTTCCACGAAATGACCCCTGGTTTTACCACAGGCTGTGGTCACACGTGCTAAATAATCCACTTTCAATGCACTTTCCAACTGGATTTTGCCAGTTCACACAGTAAAATCCAGTGAGAAAGTACACTAAAAGTGGATTGAAAATGGATTATTGAGTGTGTGTGACCGCAGCCATAGAGGGTTTGGGTTTTTTGCCTATTCCAAGAGTGACATGATGTTGCTTCCAGGTTTTCCCTGGAAGTGATGTCAATTTGCACAGATTGGGTCCCCGCCCCCTGCCAAGTTTGCAGGGAAATCTCTTTAGTGTCCGTGTGGCCCCAGTCCATGGATTTAGATATCTGCAGGCAGGGGCCACACGTCGCTATCTACTTATGTATAAGAACTGGCATATTTATTGGGCAGGCCAAGATTTTTTTTATTTCGTTCTGTGTATTTGATAACAAATTCTATGCCGCAAAGAACACATCCTTATTGCACATATAGCAAACATACATAAGTTCAGAGAAAGGCAATGGTGCTTCCACACATAGATGGGCTCCCCTTATCTGACTCTCCCCTTTGCTTCGCTTCGGTTTGTCATTTGCCTGCCTGTGGCAGCTAACCCTCCGGGCCTTGGATCCAACCCCCCACCCTCACGAAACCGAGGAGTGAGAGATAAAGGGACCTCCCTAGTGACAGTCTAGGGATTTCACACATGTCAGGTGACGTCACTCCCCACACAGCTTCTGCTGGTTGCTGGTATGGAGCTGAAAACCGTAAGGACTGAGCGTGCTCCAAGAGACGCGGAACACTGAGAGAAGGTGAGGCTCAGTGGAACTAGGAAGTGAACAGGGGGCGGTGGGGAAATTGTCCCCCTCAAGCTGCTCAGTGGTCAAAAATTCCCGGTAGGGACACATTTGGGCAGGAAGGAATTTCCTAATTGTTTATCCCGAGTTGTTCCTTCAAGAAGCCAACTTCAGGATCAAAGGCCTGTAGGGTTGCCAGCCTCCAGGTGGGGCCTGGGGATCTCCCGCTTTTACAACTGACCTCCAGCTGAGAGAGATCAGTTCTCCTGGAGGAAAATGGCGGCTTTGAAGGGCGTTGTACCTTGCAGCCAAGGTAACGGGAAATTGGGTTGTGGCCTAGTTGCCGCCGGTCATTTCGTATGGCTGGAACCTTATGAGTTCTACTATTTGTATTGCATGCCATTTTAATTGCTTGAACTGACTCATTAGTTATAATTTGTTTTTAATGGCTTTATTGCCGGTCATTTCGTATGGCCGGAACCTTATGAATTCTACTATTTGTATTGCCTGCCATTTTAACTGCTTGAACTGACTCGTTAGTTATAATTTGTTTTTAATGGCTTTATAACCCTTATTGTTGTTACCCGCCCTGAGCCCGCTTGCGGGAAGGGCGGGATATAAATCAAACAAAATGAATAAATAATTAAATAATTATCCTTGCTAGACCAATGAGGTGTCGGGCCAGCCAAGCAGGAAGGAAACTGGCACGTCTCGGGGCAAAGCAGCCCGGGTTGCCAACCTCCAGGTACAGTCCTAACAACAACAACAAAACCCCTACATCTGTCCTAATACATGATCTATATGTGGGGAATTCTCCGTTCCGCCCCCTCTCCTCAGTGGCACTCTTGTCTAAGCCGTGCCAAAATCGCTGGGGCCTTAAATTTGCCACAAAATATAGGCCGGCCTACCTGCTAGAGAAGCCTCAAGTATAAGCCCTTTGTATAGTTGCAATGCACCGACAAATTACAAAATATGCTTAGCGCTAAATATACCTGATTTATAAATTCACGATCCACAAATCCTGTTTTATCTCTTATTGGTTATTTCAGTATTATGATGGATAGAAAAGACTCACGCTACACATCATCTGTAGGAGGATTTATGACCCTACCAGCAGTAACAAGGAGGGGGGGGGACATTAAAATGTGTCCCTCTCTTTATAGAAATGTAGAATATTCTCCCCCCTCCCCGTGTACAAGAAGCATTTGTTTCCCAGTCTCAAAAAGAAACCATTTTATTCTTAGCTGTCCTCCCCTCCTGCTTTTTCATCTTTGTTACTTTTCATTTATGTACATTCTCTTCCTCTCAAAGAAACAGAGAGGAAATCCCTCATACCTGGAGAGCTGGTTTGCTCACAGACGAATTGCACTTCCCATTCTGAACGTGGTACTACTTTACTTAAAAAAAGAAAATCTGAGGACGGGGAGGCGGGGGGCGGAAGTAACCCAGGAATTTAAGACCCTTGATGCAAAGATTCCTACAATCGCATTAAGCCTCGTTGGGTTCCATTCTCATTAAGATGCGGCTTTTGACAAGTCCTCTTTATTGATATTCTATTAACTGTGACAGTAAATCACGGAAAGTTGTGTGGAAGTCGTGAAGTGGAACCGTAGCTCGTTGTAAATAATATATAAGACTGAAGTTGAAAAGGAGGGAGGGGGGGAATGGGACTGACATGATTTATGGGGCAACCTACAACCTCATGACGCAGTAGTCGGGGATCCGAGCACCAAACCTGGGCTCTCGAAAGCTCTCCCCAATGCCCCTCAGGACGGTCTGCGAAATTAAGTTCAAACGAATGGCACAAACAGCAGCGGAGGCCACCAACCTGATAGAAATCCTCGGGTCATGGGCTGCCTCGCAGCGTAGCGTAGCTGTGGTCCCCTTAATAACAGTGTTGTCCTCCGGAGGGCGTATGATGGAAGTGCGATCTGGAAAGAACGTAACCCACAGTTCAGGTGAAAATTGCCCGCTTCCGTCTTGACTCGGGGCCTTTGCCCTCCAAAGACAGCGGGTTGGGTCATTCGTCATTCCCGGACAAGAATATTTGTGCTCCCCCACAAACCCCAAAAGCGCCGGACTCTCAATGGCAAGTGTTTACCGGAGAAAAGCTTAATACAGAGTCCTGTCCTTCTCTCCCAATCCCGACTTAATTTCCCACTGGATTCCCAATTAAGTCGTAAGAGTGCCGCGCAGATTAGAAAAGCAAATTCCATTGCCGAGAGGAGACTTGTTCTTAACTGTGATTAAGAATTTGGAAGGCGGCTTTGGTCATCCTCCTCCCCACTGTCTCCTATTGTCGGAGCTCAATTCCCACTTTGCGGGGATGAAGGGAAATGGTGGCAGCGTTGACCTGAACTGCAATTAACACCAGGGCAAGGAAGAAGTCTAATAAAGGGCCAATATTAAAAACCGAATTGAAACTTATAATATACAAAAAATACCTATGTTTTTCTTTATTATAAGTTTAAATTAGGTTTTTAATATTGGCCCTTTATTAGACTTCTTTCTTACTCTTGTGGACCTTGATTCCAGTTTTTGGGTCTAGTTTGATTTCTCCTCCCTGTGTCTTACTGCAACTAACACCAACCAGGGTCAGAAACCCCGGTGAGGGTATTAAGCCACTACAAAGCAGGTTTGCCCTTAAGCGCAGCTGACTTAGGACTGGGGACACACTCCTAAGGCCAGTACATGATTTCTGAACCGTGTTTAGAGGGAGCCAACCTCTGAATGATTATATCCTATAAACATATTACCTGTTGGCATTTTGAGTAGTGCTTTGGAGCTTCGCATAAAGGACATAAAATCTCTTATCCAGAAATATTTGTAGTCCTGAAAGATATCCATGTATCCGCCCCGGCATGACTAGAAATAGATTCTTTCTGCCCCTACCTCAAATTTAAAGGATAGAGCAAAATGAAAGTGGTGGTGAGGGAAGAAACCTACCCGGTAATCCTGGAGAGCCAATTTGGTGTACTGGTTAGGAGCGCGGACTCTAATCTGTGACAACTGGGTTTGATTCCCCACTCCTCCAAATGCAGCTGCTGATGTGACCTTGGGTCAGTCACAAGTTCTCTCAGAGCAGTTCTCTCAAGAGCAGTTCTCTCAAGAGCTCTCTCAGCCCGACCTACCCACAGAGGGTCTTGTGGGGAGGGGAAGGGAAAGGAGAGTGTAAGCCACTCTGAGACTCCTTTGGGTAGTGAAAGGTGGTGTATAAATTCAATCTCCTCCTCTTCCTCCTCTTCTTCTTAATAGAACAAAAAGCCTATCGCACTCTAGCCCTTTGCTTACTTTTTGTAAGCTGCTTTGGATACTTCCAGGGGGGAAAGCAGCCTAAACATGTTTAAACAAATACCTAAGAGAAGACATTAACTCAAATGCTGCTAAAGCCCCCTGTCGTTCAAAAGTGGCCAAGAAATGGAGTTCACTGCAGCAAGCAGCTAATATTTAATTTATTTATTTATTCGATTTGCTATCCCGTCCTAACCCCTAAGGGTCTCTGGGCGGCTTACAGAGTGCGCTAATCACATTTACAGATATTCAAACTATCTCGGATGGACAGTGGTTGTACATGCAGGGAAGGGCTGCAGGGACACGCAGGGAAGGGCTGCAGGGACACGCAGGGAAGTGCTTGGACACACAGGGAAGACTACACCTGCTGAATCCAGGCTCAGGAAGGTTTATGTGAAAATGGGAACAATGTTTATGTGAAAATGGGAAAATGGGAACAACAAGGTTTATGTGAAAATGGGAACATGCGAAAGAGCAAGTGCCCGAAGAGGCTTCTATACCAGAACCAAGCCCTAAAGCACGAACATTGGCTATCTTTAAGTAACACATCTGGGAGTGGTGGGTGCTTTCGCTGCAGCCTTGAGGTTACAGCAGTGCCATCTGGATTTCTGCGTTATCTGAAGAAGGGAGCTGTGACTCACGAAAACTCGTGCCCTGCTATGAATTTCGTTGGTCTTTAAGGTGCTACTGGACTCTTGCTCTTTTTACCTGGATTTATGTACATGCAGTCGGTGGTTAAACGTGATCAAATTTTTAAAAAAGAAGAAGAAGAAGAAGATTCAGCTAGTCGTTAAAACTCACTGGCATTTTGTGCATACAAAAAGGCTGACCTTTCCCAAAAAGGAGCTTCAAATGGGAGATTATCCAACCTTTCCCATGCCTGCACTCTACTAATATATTGACTGGCAAACAAGCGGTCCATATCCTCCTCTGTGCAACCGTTGCACTTTGTTAGGAAGATGCTCACAGAGTATCCCGGTAGCTGCCAGGATTTGCAGTGCACAAATCCCTTGAAATAATCACAAAGCAACTATCGACAGCTTTCCCTAAACCAAGGGACGTGCCTCACTCTCGTATTTCTAGCTTGAGGATGTTGGTTCCCGCCAGCCCTATAGCTACAGTGGGGCATCTCGGGGCTAGGCCCCCTGACTTGCTGGCAAGCCCCCCCCTACTTCCCATCCAGGCCGGGGCATCACAGCCTTCTCCCCTGGATTAATTTGATTAGCCAGTGCCCCCCAAAAATTTTAAATGCCCCCTGACTTAAGAAATCCTGACTACGGGCTTGTTTCCCGCACTCCATCTCCAAACCCTGCTCTGAACCTCAAAGCCACCTCTTATTGGTGGAAGTTTAGTGTGTAGGCAGGGACACCAGCATGTCTTCTGCCTACGGATTTCTACATCCCATGGCTTTGTTTTGATGCCACAGCACTGCAGAAATCTTTCAGTCACCCTTGGAAATAAGCAGCAGGCAGCGCCAGCAGCAAGCATTAAGGTGCAATTTAACACGCGCATGGCAAAATGCACAGATTTTAGGCATGTATCACATGCTGCAAAGGACATAGGTCCATTAGCTGCAATTCAAGAGTAGGAAAATACATAATTTAAAAACCCAGACTCTTCAACAGGAGGACTCAAACCAATCCTGCTCCTAGTTTTAGACCAATATTTAACACTTTTCTCTTAAACCTGTCGGTTTGAATATTGGAAAAGTTCTGTTTCTGCCGAACCTGACGTCTGCAATTCAAGTTTGCTGAATTATCCCAGTCACCGCTGCCAAAACAACAGGGCACTGCTTGGCTTTGTTTTTGTTTTTGGTGGGTCTGCTTAAATCAGCTCTCGAAAGCACGCGTATTATCCCTATTAAATTATTCAGGATTCCCCCCCGCCCATGAAATGGAAATTTTGTAATTGGTTTCCTGAGGGCACAACGAGAACTGATTAGGCCTTGATTAATATTGGAGCGTAAAACAAACATGGGCCCTCACTCCACACGGTGAGCGCAGCAGAGGCATTCAGGTCTCCTTCGGAGTTGACTGCGCAGCAAGTGTAGTTCCCAGCATCTTGCAGGAAGACAGGTGTTATCTGGAGGCCGCCGGATTCGAGGAGAATGAACCGGGGGATCCGAACGGAGCCGCTGGCCAAAGTCTGGCGCCCTGAAACAGAGTGTGACAAAACAGCTGCAGTTGTCCAACTTGCAGTGTGTGAAGCACCTAATGCTTAGCTAATTCTCCCTAGCGCCTAATGCTTAGCTAATTCTCCCTGGCGGACGACAGTAATTAAGAGTGATTTCCCAACAGGAAAGTAAAGTTTTTACCCCGTTTCCATGCAATGGCAGGCTTGGGAGCCCCTGAAACTTCGCATCTTAAAACTGCGGTCATCCCTTCTGTAACTGTCGCGTCCGCTGGCGGCCAGATAAAAGTGGGTGCAATATCTGGAACAAAAAGGACAAAAACGACAACAGCGGTTAAAATAAACAAAAATTCTGGATAATCTCTTGGAAAGATCACTACACTCCCTGTAAAATGTTGTATCCATTTATACAGAACTGGCAGAGGAGAAGGGCACAGCAATAACAACATGAAAACCTTTCAAAAGAGACAGTAACCTTTCATCGCCCATCTCCCAGGAATTCTCCCAAACTTAGATTATTGGCTAAATGGAAAAAGAAGAAAGAAATTTTAGCGGCGCTTGTAACAAGTACAAGCAAGAGGGCTTTTGCGGCAACACAAAAGGGGTTTATGATGAATGTTGGGAGGGAAGCAGATGAACTGAAACAAACAGAACTATTTGCTTTCATGCACGTAACGAAGCCCTTTAAAGATGAAACGCAACCGGAGGCCAATATTTGTTGGCAAAGTGAAATGTCAGCCAAAAGAAATTTCCATCTGAGTCTCAACCAGTGGCTTGTTATCCGATTTCGCACCGCTCCCCACTTCCCCATCGTTACATCTTATCACGTGGCACCCTTTCAGGCTTCAATGCAAAGATCAAGCAGGGCCAGCTCTGTTAGCGGCAGCCCAGGGAAGGACCGCAAACTTCATAAATGGGCTATCTGCATTCAGAGGTAAACCTGGACAGGTCTAACACCACAGCCCAATGGAAATCAAAGGGAGTTGATCTGACTGAAAACAGGCACTCTCTAATCTGGTTCCAGCTGAGAAGAACCTGCTCTCCACTAAGTGGAGAGTTGCGAGGGATGTAAACCCCTTTTGTGTCGCTGCGGAAGACAGCATGGTGAGAACATGCTGAAAGCCAGCATGGTGTAGTGGTTAAGAGTGGTGGACTCAAATCCAGAGAACCGGGATTCCCCACTCCTTCACAGACAACCAGTTGGGTGACCTTGGGTCAGTCCCAGTTCTCTCAGAGCTGTTCTCTCAAGGGCAGTTCTCACAGAGCTCTCTCTGCCCCACCTGCCTCACAGGCTGTCTGTTGTGCGGAGGGGGAGGGAATGGTGACTGTAAGCTGCTCTGAGATTCCGAGTGAAGAGCGGGGTAGAAATCCTCCTCCTCCACTTCTTCACCACCACCACCACCATCATTACTATCATCATCATCACCACCATCGAGGTATATTATGAGCAAGGGGGAGTTCCACAATTGGAGCAGTGTGAGGTATATTATGAGCAAGGAGGAGTTCCACAATTGGAGCAGTGTCATGAAGGAGGTTGTGGTGGCTATGAGGTGAATGGGGGAGGTACTGAGGCACCTGGCCATCTCCTGCTATTATAATTGATCTTGAGATAACAAAGATCAGTTCCCCCAGAGAAAATGGCTGCTTTGGACGGTGGACTCTATGGCATTATACCATGACTCTGTGCACCAACTAGAGTTGTCAGGCAGCCCTCTGTGAGCTATTCCATCACTTAGGGTGGCCCATCTGGGCCTTTTCCATTGTGGCCCCAGCTCTGTGGAATGGGCTCCTTGAAGAGGTGAGAGGGGCCCCCTCCTTGGAGATATTCAGGCTTACACGGGGGCTTGAATGGCAGGCATCTTTTAAGAGTGGGAAGAGGAGGGAAGGATTTGGTGCTTGTTATTGCTTCTTCTGGTTTAACTGGAAATGCTTTTAAGTATTACTACAAGCTGCCTTGAACCATGAGGAAAAGTGGGATAGCTCTCTCAGCCCCACCTGCCTCACAGGGTATGTCTGTGGTGGCGAGGGGAAGGGAAAGGAGTTTGTAAGCCTCTCTAAGACTCTGAGTGAAGGGCGGGGTATAAATCCTAAATAAAGAATCAACAGAGAGCTGACAAAACCTTCCTCATCATCGGTCCTTCACTTTTCATCTTGCTTGAATGTGCTTTTCAGCCTTGTAGAAGGGGAGCCTTTGCCCCTGTCCTTCCTAGTTTGCTCTGCCTGCCTGCCTTCCAGAATGAACAAGCAGTGACCATCACCCGGGGTGTGTGCCTTCCCCCACTCTAATCTGCACTAGTTTCCCTTCCAGGGCTTATAAGCAACACGTTTGCTTCTCTCCTCGGTAGGTATCACAGCCCCCTCCCTCAGTGCCTGTCTTCAACAGAGGTGAAACAAAGTAAGTCATGCTGCCTTTCAGGGGGAAATACTCTCGCGTCTGCAACACCTGCCTTTAAAGAGTATAAACATAACATGTTCCCACAGGGAGGCAGGAAACAGCAACATACCAGAGAAGTGAACGGAACAGCAACTTGATCTTTTTAAAAATATATATATAAACATCTTTACAAGTTCAGTGGAAACGGTGCAATGCCTGATAGTAAACTGAAACACTGTGCACAGAAACGTGTATGGAGACATTCCTCGTCAGTAGCCACATTTGCTAATCTTTGCGACTGGAGAATGCTGCCACCAGTTCAATAATCTTCTGAAGCATTCTCTCCCTCCTCACTGCCCCTCCTGCTTCCCTTCCATTGCCCCATGAAAATGCGAGAATCAGGCAAGCGGGTGCCAGAATAAAGAGGATTCTCAAATATTCATCTAATATTTCCTTTTTTGTTTAGCAATCAGATCAGTTACAACAAACATACTAAAGGTTTAGGTTTTAATTAAACAGACGTGCCTATCAAATGAGATTAAAATGGTATACAATTGTTCATCTTTTTTTAATTATTATTAAGGCCCCGTTCACACGAGGCGATTTGGCCCGGGAACGGGACAGTTTGGGGCCGGATCAAACCGGCGCGATCACACCACAACATCTGGGAAGCGTCTTGCTTCCGTGGCCAAACTGTCCCTTTCCCGGGAAAAAGCGCCTCAAACTGAACCACCTACCTCGGTGGTTCAAATGGACGAGGCGCCTCTTCCCGGGTGTCTGATCGCCGGCGCGTCTTTGCGCCGGCACATCCCCGGGCCGGAGACGAACTGCGCATGCTCAGGCATGCGCAGTTCGGCCGGCTCCCGGTTAGAGCCGTCTTTTCTCTCCGGCGTTTGATCGCGCCGGGGAGAAAAGGCGGCTCGGCCGGGGGATCGTGGGATCCCGCCGAGCCGTATCAACATTGGCGCGGCTTTTAAAAGCCGCGCTTTAAAGGGCTTTTCCCCTGCCGTGTGGCAGGGGCCTAAGTAACACAACCTTTTTAGATAGTTCCATGCGGTTAGCCGTATTGGTCTGAAGCAGTAGAAAATTTTTTAGAGTCCAGCAGCACCTTAAAGACCAAGACGGGTTTAATCAAGGTATGAACTTTCACGTGCACACCCACACACACTTCGAACTTATAGACAGCCTGAGCATGAAATTTACATGTAACATGAAGATGTTTTAAGTTATGCAAAAACAAGCTAAGGTTATAATGTCAACAGTTGTTTTGATTTAATTAAGGTGGGGGGGAGGACACCAAAGTAATAAATATGTCAAAACAGGGGATAAGTGTGTAAAGGCATCTTTTCTAATTGTGGGAAGTAAACTGAGACTCATCATTCATCTCCTCTAACTTTGAACTCCTCTAAGTTTGAACTCTAACTTCCATTCCGATGTATTTGAAAAAGTGTCATGCACATGAAAGCTCACACCTTGAATAAACCTTTGTTGGTCTGAAAGGTGCCACTGGACTCTCGATTTGTTCTACAACCTTTTTAGAAGATTCTAGATCACAATATTTTTTTTGCATTCTTAGCGTAATGGTAGATGGGATAATCATGCAATGGTAGCATAGATAGATGGTAGTGTAGTGGTGGATGGTGCCCCCCTCCCGTCTCCCCCTTCCCTCTAATGTCGTCTTGTCGGGGTCCAGACTTACTGGTGACATCGAGGAAGGTGTAGCTCAGAACCTCCCCAACTTCGTTCTTTGCAACACACTGGAAGATTCCAGAGTCATCCGGCTGCAGCTGCTGGATTTGAAGACTCCCGTTGACGAGGGCTTTGTAACGCGGGTTCGACAGTTTGTGAATGGGGACGGAATCCTTGTACCACACCAGAGTAGGAAGCGGGACTCCTGCGTGTCGAAGACAGACAGAACGCTCTTAGGTTGCACACACCGCTGTTTGCTCATTTCCCATCTTTTCTTCACCTACATTCATCACTACAAATTGGCTATATAGTATATAGCCACGGGGCGATGGTGGGGGTGAGTTTCAGAATGCACAGTGACAGACTCACTCCACGGTCACCCCCCACCCCACAGTCCTCCCACAGAAAGAGCTAAACAAGGAAATGGGTGCTGTCAAAGCACTTCTCGCCAGTCAGCAGATCACCTGTCATTGTCTGAGAAGGTTCAGAAGACACAATTAGAGATTCGGGTGAACGTAAACATGCCATGTCTTGAAAAGGATGGTGAGGCTTTCGCTACAATCCGGCGAGTCAGCTCTGGGAACCTTGACACACGCAACTAGAACGGCTTCTCCATTCAGCACAACCAAGGATGCCAATTAACGTGCACATTCCTACACATGTGCATAGCGCAGTGGTACCCAACCTTTTTGAGCCTGGGGGAACCTGTAGGATTCCGACACAGTGTGGTAGGTGCAGCCACAAAACGGCTGCTGCAGCTTTCCTTCAATCCCACAGGGAATATCCCTGTTCTGTGGAGGCTGCTGCTGCTGAACCAATGTTTTTAAAAGTCTGCACAGCCAATCAGATCTCTGATGGTCAATCAGAAACCTTGCTAAGCAAAAGCACCACCTGGCCTCACCCACTTTCCAAAAACCCTTGGTGGGCACCATGTTGGGGAGACCTGGCATAGCGGCCCCCTTCACGGCAATGAACCACAATCGCTGCTTGACCAGTCCGAACCAAGGCAGACCTCTGGATTAAAGCAATTATCTGTCACTGGATTTTGTCATGGGCATGGATGAGGATGAGCTGGCAGAGCCTGCAGAAACCGCAGCTGGCCCCTCTGAAGCAGCAGAGGAGGATAGCTGGCAAGTGCCTGTAACAGCAGTCTTCACGCCTGGCCCGGATAAGAAGGAAGAACTGCAAGCTGAAAGTCCTCCTGACTCACCCCCACGTGTGACTCATTTAAGGGAGCAACTGCGGCAAAACTTAGCAACCAGGCGAAGAGAGGCCAGGCTACAAGGGAGATGCTCAGCTAGCCCAGAGTTCTAATAGGAGCCTGGGCGATCATGCAGCTGGCTAATTGGCAGCAGCATTTAACTCCACACTCTGGGCAGTACTCTTCGTGGAAGCAACAAGTCAGCTTCGTGCTGCTTGCATCCACTCTGGCTTTTGCACCTAGACCTTCGGACCCCCTGGCTTTGGACTTGGCTCTGTGTTCCTGGCTCCTGACCCTGGCTTTGGAGTACACTTCTGGTTAGTGATTTTGGACTTGGCTCTGTGTTTCTGGCTCCTGACCCCGACTTGGCTTTTTGGACTTTGTGCTGTCTTCTTGGCTCCTGACTGTGGCCTGTTCTGGACTCACTTTGACTGGCACCCCAGCCCATGACAGATTTGACTAGTTTTCAAAATACTTCTTGAAACAAGCCTTTATGTTAGAACAGTGCAAGCAGAGTACCCGCCACTCTGATTGTGAGTTCAGCAAGTCAATTTAGCCTGTCATGGTAGATCAAATTTAAAAAGTTAAGCCACAATAGGCAACTCCAAAAACGCAGACGTTAAAAGCTGTAATAACCTGTAGCTTTCCTCCACCCTCCTGGTACGGAACAAAAGCAACATTATTTCTCTGAAGAATATACGGGCAAATGTGAAAAAACATTTTTTAAATGGGCAAGGGAGAGTGTTTGGCCATCAAATTATATTTCTGTACAAGGATGCAATCAGTTTGTGAAATCGCATTCGGAGCTAGCTTCCATTTTGCATGAATAATAAAGCTATTTATAGCCTAAGAGAATCATATTTTTTTTGTGTACAACATGTGCCTGTTTGACACAGAATAGATACAATGCACCACTGTGAAATGCACACAATTCCAATTTCATACCAGCGGCCCCATCTACAAAATCTGCGTACGTGTCTCATTGTCAAAAATTCTCAGTGCAAATGTTGTGCGTCTCTCAAAATCCCCCCGGGCAAACACAAATTACCACCGAGTAATGAGGAAACATATGATGCAAAAATGAAATCGTCCTCCAGACGGGGGACGCTGGAAACGGTTTGAAGCTTAAATAACAATGCTCCCGTTATTTTGATAAGAAAAACAACACAGCAACAAAACCAAACAAACTATCAACACCATTCCGTGTTATTTTCCAAATCTCCCCTGACCGTTTAAAGATGCTAGCAAATATTTTAATCGCATAATCGCTGGGAGAGCTATCTTCACAACTCTAATGAACCTACAAAACTGATCATTTCACTTACGTTTATCCGCATTTAGGGAGCACTTGAAGAGAGGTGCCATGTTCTAACCATTGTGAACTATGACTGGAGGCAGGAGCTCTCAATGTGATGCCATGACATCCCACCGTATGCTTCCTGATGTCCCTATTCTCCTTGAGTCTTGGGAATAAAACCTAAAGCAGTGCCTGTGGGTGCCATAGTGCCCACCAACACTTTTTCTGGCACCCAGCAAGTGTTTATAGAAGGTGGGTGAGGTTATGTGGGGCACTTGCCCAGCAGTGTCATAAGTCAGTCTGTGCTCAGTGACAGCACAGATTCTGCAGATGAAGAGCTGCCTGCAGCTGGCCCTCAGCCAGTTATTGAACAACCACCTGCAGCTGGATCTGAGCTCGGAGGAGAGCAACAAGAGGTCAGGTTACCAGCTGAGCAGAAGTCATAGCCTATAGTTGAAACCAAGCCAATGCCTTGTAGCTCTGAAGCAGTAAACAAGGCTTCCAGAAGCTACTCCCAGCCCACGTAGCCCACCCACACCCCTGCAGCACTAACACTGTCAGAGGTGAGCTGAGTTGCAGGAAAGGAAGAGGAGTGCGAGACTCATGGCCTGTCCTCAGCTGTCGGCAAAGAGCGCCATCGAGATGACGTTGAGATGAGCAGAAACGCAGATTACGAGCTTCTCGAGTTCTAGCGTTCGTTTCGATACAGTTCTTTATCAAACTAATCTCAGAATCTCAGTTCTTTAATGCTCTTCATACGAATACTTCACAAGAAGGAATTCCTAAATCCAGAAACTTTTCCAAACAGCTTTGGACTAACAATTTTTAACTTCCATCGGACGGTCTTCTTGTGAAGTATTCGTATGAAGAGCATTAAAGAACTGAGATTCTGAGATTTGTTTGATAAAGAACTGTATCGAAATGAACGCTAGAACTCGAGAAGTTCGTAATCTGCGTTTCTGCTCATCTCAACGTCATCTCGATGGTGCTCTTTGCCGACAGCTGAGGACAGGCCATGAGTCTCGCACTCCTCTTCCTTTCCTGCAGCTCAGCTCACCTCTGACAGTGTTAGTGCTGCAGGGGTGTGGGTGGGCTACGTGGGCTGGGAGTAGCTTCTGGAAGCCTTGTTTACTGCTTCAGAGCTACAAGGCATTGGCTTGGTTTCAACTATAGGCTATGACTTCTGCTCAGCTGGTAACCTGACCTCTTGTTGCTCTCCTCCGAGCTCAGATCCAGCTGCAGGTGGTTGTTCAATAACTGGCTGAGGGCCAGCTGCAGGCAGCTCTTCATCTGCAGAATCTGTGCTGTCACTGAGCACAGACTGACTTATGACACTGCTGGGCAAGTGCCCCACATAACCTCACCCACCTTCTATAAACACTTGGTGGGTGCCAGAAAAAGTTTTGGTGGGCACTATGGCACCCACAGGCACTGCTTTAGGTTTTATTCCCAAGACTCAAGGAGAATAGGGACATCAGGAAGCATACGGTGGGATGTCATGGCATCACATTGAGAGCTCCTGCCTTCTTTCCCAGTGTATTTTCTCCCCTGCATTTGGGCTTCCTGTATGTGTATGCCTCCACCTCCTGGGGCATCCGTTTTGTAGTTGCGCTCACCACCCTGTGTCAGAATTCCAAAGGCACTCACAGGCTCAAAAAGGCTGGGGACCCCCCAATCTAAAGGGTCTTGAATGGAACAGGAAAGAAAGACACAAACAAGGAACTCAGAGTGCTCTGTAGCTTCTTACTGTCTAGCAAAGTACCCAGGAGGCATGAACTTTGCATCTGCCCCTTTCTACATCTAGCATTCTCTCCATTGTTTTACCAGATCCACACTGGAACAGAAAAAGATGCGGCTGAAAACCACATTCAGATAGCCCGGGTGAACTCCAGACTGACTGAATGGCCATAGAACAGCCATAAATCTATGCAGACGGCTACCATAAAACTGAGAGATCATGCAGTCTGGACCTTGTACAGTTCCGCAGGGCCTGCAAGACGGAGCTCTTCCGCCAGGCTTTTGAGTAGGAGCCGCCGCCACTGCCACTATTTCTGTTCCAGTCTCGGTTTGGTAAAACAGCGGAGCAAATGCTAGATGTAGAATGGGCCTCTGTCAGGAGTGCCCATCTTTTGTGGGAGGATGCTTGGTTTGGAACTTCTCAAAGTTTTGGGATCTATTTTGGGGTGCTGCCCCTTAACACATTCTCAACATTCCTGAAGTGTTTGTTGGCACACCAACATCGGGGATTCCCAGGCTTCCTGACAGCGAAAAGTTGATATTTCTCTTGTCGGATACAAACCCTTTGGTTTCACACAAGGTAGCACGCTTTGCACTTGCTGCAAAGAAAGTCAGATCCAAGGTGGCCCTTAGAAATGTTTTATAATGAGTTATAAAGTCACGATACCATGTTTTTACAATTCCAAATTGCTGTGATTTTGACATTTCAGTTGTATAATTGAGTTTTATTCTGAATGTAATGTTTTAAGCCATAAGTACTCTTTGAATGCAATTTTGTATTGTAACGGCCAGTGGCCATGTACAATAAAATCTTACATATATACATGCAGTCTAAGGGCTACTTTGGTTATCTTCCCAAAGAAAATTCCCAAGTGTTTGCTGGCACACCAACATTGGGGATTCCCAGTCTAAGGGCTTCCCGACAGCGAAAAGTTGATATTTCTCTTGTCAGATACACACCCTTTGGTTTCACACAAGGTAGCACGCTTTGCACTTGCTGCAAAGAAAGTTAGATCCAAGGTGGCCCTTAGAAATGTTTTATAATGAGTTATAAAGTCACGATACCATGTTTTTACAATTCCAAATTGCTGTAATTTTGACATTTCAGTTGTATAATTGAGTTTTATTCTGAATGTAATGTTTTAAGCCATAAGTACTCTTTGAATGCAATTTTGTATTGTAACGGCCAGTGGCCATGTACAATAAAATCTTACATATATACATGCAGTCTAAGGGCTACTTTGGTTATCTTCCCAAAGAAAGCACGGAATCAAGTCTTTAGTGGAATCAGGGACAAAAACCTCGCAGTCAGCACTTCGCTGAGTATGAAAGCCCACGGAACTGCCTGTTGAGGCTATTCTCTCTGATATTTCGAGAAGGTTTTAAAGGTACCGCTGGTTTCTCAGGGTTGCTTTTGTTTTCCGGATAAGTGCCAGAGAAGGCAAGCTAAAAAAGGTGTCAGAAATGAGAGCAGAGGCAGCTGTTGTCGAGTTTGGGTTTTCAAAACAAGTTTGGGTTTTCAAAATGACTTAAACTGTTTGGGGCAGGGGGGAGGAAGCCATGATAGGAAATATGTGCTTATTTTGTAGAAACGAATAAGGTTTTCCCTGTCGCTGTTAACCAGGACAGAAGAGACTTGTATAAAACAGTCAAAAAACGGGATCACGAAACCGCGGGGAAAATCGGGCGAAGCCGCAGATCAAAATGCAGCTGCGCGGCTTCGAGTGGGGAATTGACCAATAGAAGCGGGGCAAAGGGAGGCGCGACCGTGGCACAGCTCTTGTGTGAAATTGGTCTGACTGTCAAAAAGGTTTTCCTAAGATCCAGCCGGTACCTTCCCGCCCTTAACTTAAAGCCATTATTGCGAGTCCTATCTTCTGCTGCCAAAAGGAACAGCTCCCTGCCCTCCTCTAAGTGACAGCCCTTCTTCAAATACTTCAAGAGAGCGATCCTGCCCCTCCTCCACCTCCTCTACTCCAGACTGAACATTCCCAAGTCCTTCAGCCTTTCCTCGTAGGGCTTGGTCTCCAGGCCCCCAATCATCCCTGTCGCTCTCCTCTGCACCTGCTCTATTTTGTCCACATCCTTTTTGAAGCGAGGCCTCCAGAACTGCACACAATACTCCAGGTGTGGCCTGACCAATGCAGTGTACAAGGGGCCAAGACATCTTGTGATTTGGATGTTATGCCTCTGTTGATACTCCCCAAGATTGCATTAGCCTTTTATGTCGCCGCATCCCACTGGCTGCTCATATATAACTTTCAGTCCACCCTTACCCCAAGATCTTGTTCACACACACTGCTACTCCAGTTTGCATGTTTCTCATTGTTGTTATCCAGATGTTACCCAGGTTTTTGGTTGTGTTAGTTGGCTGAGTTATCCTAAAGCTATTTGTCCAGACAAGGATTTCAGTCCAATTAACACTAACCCTCTGAGACCTGCCCACAGCAGCACTGACATGATATGATCCAAATAATAATTAGGGCATGTGTGTGGATGTGTGTGGATGATGCCAAAGAGAAAACACATTGTATTATAAGTACGCGGAACCTTTGCTGAGAAGCGAAAAATGGAATTTGCCACCAAGGAGCCGAAGATCCATTTATAGCTAAGTAAAAAGCCGGCCCTTACAAGTTGTAATTTTATTTATAGTTAATCGTGTTCTGCTGAGTAAATTTAATTTTTGTCTCTCGTACTCACAGAGCACGGAGATTGCCTCGGCGGCTGTTGTGCCAAAGAAGCCCGCAGGAGAGGTGAAAAATGGAAAATTCCCTACTGTTTATGGTCTGGTCGCAAAGCAGCTCTGTCAGGCTCATGGGGCAATTTGTCAACCCCTAGGCAGGCACCCCATTGTGGAATGAACCCTTCAAGGGTGGAGGTCCACAGCTAGGGGTGCCAACTTCCAGGTGGCGGCTGGAGATCTCCTGGGATTACAAGTGATCTCCAAGAGACAGAGATCAGTTCCCCTGGAGCAAATGGCCAAAGTGAGCGGACACTAATCTGGGAGAACTGGGTTTGATTCCCCACTCCTCCACTTGCACCTGGCTGGATGACCTTGGGCAAGCCGTAGTTCTGATAAGAGCTGTCCTTGAAAAAAGAGCAGTTTCTGTCAAGAGCTCTCTCAGCCCCACCGACCTCGCAGGGTGTCTGTTGTGGGGAGGGGAAGGGAAAGGAGTTCGTAAGCCACTCTGAGACTCCCTTGGGTAGTGAAGGGTGGGGTATAAATCCAATATCTTCCTCTTCTACATAGAGCAAGCCTGTGCTTGCCACCGGGCTGTTCTCTTGGAAGCTGCCGCAGGTTCTGACTCCCCAGTGAGTATATGAGACCCACGTTTGTAAACTTTATGTTTCGGGGTACAAAGAGGCCCAAAGATTTGCTAAGGTCAGAGGCCCAAATACCGACAAGCTCAATTCCATCTCGTTTTCACTCCCTACACTACTCATTGAACGACCCATTGGAGTTTTTAATTAGCTGACGACTGGACGGTATCTACCATCTTCCGCGGCATTAGGTCTGGAAAAGGCAAGAGCCAGTTTGGTGTAGTGGTTAAGTGAACGGACTCTAATCTGGGAGAACCGGGTTTGATTCCCCACTCCTCCACTTGCACCCGCTGATGTGACCTTGGGTCAGTCACAAGCTCTGGTACAGCTGTCCTTGAAAAAGAGCAGTTTGTGTCAGAGCTCTCTCAGCCCCACCCACCTCACAGAGTGTCTGTTGTGGGGAGGGGAAGGGAAAGGAGTTTGTAAGCCACTCTGAGACTCCAAGTCAAGGGCGGGGTATAAATCCAATCTCCTCCTCCTACATTCTAAGTGGAATTATAAATATTTTGATGGCTTCGGCGGTGTTCAAAAAGCCTTCCAATTAAGTTCTGAACGACACGGCTCCACCACGGTGGTGTGGCCACACTCGAAAGCGCTTCCGCGGGTGACATTTCCCCTCTCACCGTAAAAAGCTCCATAATTTTAAGAAACAAGAAGCCTTAACTGTTGCAATGATTGATTGTTTCTCCATGTCCCAAGTTATGGGTCCCACAGCCGCTGTTTCGTTCCCATTAACTCGCTCAGCTCTCGCTGCTAATCCTATTCGGCCGACCGTGTTTCTCCAGCCTATCTTTTTTTTTTGTGGCCAGGAGCTCACATGAGAAGGAGGAGCCCTTTTGCCCAGTGGGCAAGCGTTGCGCACATTTTTCACATCACGCTCCTCGTATGCAGCGACTTGCCATTATACAACTTGCCATTTTTTTTGAATGAATATGAAATTGTATAAACAGGGCAGGGGGAAAACAAGCAATCAAACAAACAAACAAAAAACCACACGTGGTGGCTTGTTCACTCCCGACTTACCCATTGCTTGGCACAGGATATCCACCGTCTTCTCCACTTCGGCCACAATTCGGCTTTCTGGTTCGGCGGTGAAATATGGTGGCTCTTAAGAAAAGACAGAAAAGGAGGGTCACTGACAGAAGATATACATAGATTGCAAATCGCAGGCCTCCTTCTGAGTCCCTGTTGGGCTGAAATGCTGTAGTGGTTAAGAAAGGCGGACTCTAATCTGGGAGCACCGGGTTTGATTCCCCACTCCTCCACATGCAGCTGCTGGTGTGACCTTGGGTCAGTCACAAGTTCTCTCAGAGCTGTTCTCTCAAGGACAGTTCTGGAAAGAGCAGGCAAAGGGTCCCGATCCATTCTCTTTGGCATGGACAAGTCACAGAGCTATAGGCATGGGACACTGCATCCCCTGGCACCTGTCGTTATTAGGGATGGGAGGTCGGGGGTGTGGGGGGGAGGTGGACAGTTTTTTTCTTCTCAAGTATTTTTTTTTTTTAATCCTGGTAGGGAAAAATACACTTTGGGGGATGTACAGGTATTTCCCACCCAAGCCAGTCCAGGAATGGGAGGGAATCCTGTACTTTTCAGTACATTAAACAACAACCCAAGAGGTAGTCTATACCCTCTCTGGTTTTCAGAACCATATGTTACCAGAACCTCTACATTAGTTCCCCCCAACCTGAGATTAGAGGTTCAAACTCTCAGATGGTATCTGGAACTTAACACATTAGCAACTCACTCAGAGCTGCACACTTTACGCTTAATGGTAGCTTGTGGTCAGCTTAGGCACAGGAGTTTAGACTTGGAATTCAGGTACAACATCAAAGACAATTTTAACAATCAAAGGAATCTTTATTTAGTACAGAGCTTAGCACAGACTACCAGAGTTTACCAAAATAACAAGCCTAAGGTGATTTGCCTTAACTACACAGTAAAAGATACATATTTACCAAATTCAGGAATATCCAAACAATCCATCTTTTCAGGAATATCCAAAAATCCATCTTTGCTCAACCATGTGGTCCAATTCACAAAGCCAGTCCTCTGTCCCTCAAGGGCTGCATTTCAGGTGCAATAAAACAAGCAGAGAGAACAGGAGCAGAGAGCAAGAAAGCAAGCCAGCTCTCTCATTGGGATCAAACAATTATACCCCAATTCCAGTCACAAATTAGATGTGGCTATTAGCCAATTGTGAGTGGGCATGGGTGTACCCAATTGTTGGTTGTCATGGCTATGTGTGGGGATAGGCTAGGAGTTTGGGAACTCCTCCTGCAGTCAGGTGACCCAACTTCCAGCTTCTCCATGATGTACATGACATGGCCCATGTAGCGTTAAAGCAGGCACCTTGAAGTCTAGCTCTTCCACTTAGAGGTGTGAAAGAATGTGTGGTTATATGGCATGGCTATTGAGGTTGTTCAGGCCATCTGGTGTGCCCTGGACCATTTGTCCTGCACAGGAAACAGAGACATAGAATGTCATCACAGGAGAAGACATGAGACTTGTAGAAATCAATATTTCTATACATGGACTCCTTTGCATATTAGGTGACACACCCTTAATGTAGCCAATCCTCCAAGAACTTACAGAACTCTTCTTACAGGGCCTACTGTAAGCTCTTGGAGGATTGGCTACATTAGGGGTGTGTCGCCTAATATGCAAAGGAGTTCCTGCTACAAAAAGAGCCCTGTAAAATCCCGTAGACAAAGTAGAAGTGTATTGAATACAGCCCGTCACAAATGGCCTACTTTGACTTCTGTTTCGAGTTTACAGCTCCTTTTCAGTCACAGCCTCATAAAGCAACCCCAACAATTATATGCGATGATGAATACGAATTTCAAAGAGCGCCGAGCAACTGCCAATTTATATTTAGGGGTGTTTTTTTAACGCACCAAATTAACGTCGGAGCAGAGGGCGCTTTTTTCCCCATTTCACAGGCGCGAATCACAGAATATTTTAATTCTCGGCTTCGAAGGGCCGTCCCGGGAGGTCCATAAAGGTTTTTATTTACAACACCATGTTTCATACTTCTGTCTCTCTACACCATCCCGCGATGCTCGGGTTATAAAACATCACAGAGTAAACATAAATCCGCACCGAGGATATAACCCAACAGTTTTAATAAGAAACTTAACGAGAGTTTACTTTTGAACGTCGCTGCATTAGTACGTTGGAGATTCCAAGTAGATTTACACAGCCTAGGTGACCAGACTGAGTTGGGGGTCACATTCCTGATCCGCGTGACCCGAGACGTTCCAGGGAAGCCCACATGAGACTTGAGCCCTCGCCTTCAGCCGGCTCTTCCTTCTTCCATAGGGGGTGGGGGAATAGCCCTTCTCTAGGGCCATTGTTGCCTTCCAGTTCTACCCTGGCCATGGTGCAAATTGGGAGAGCAAGCACGGACTCAAGTTTGGGCTTTCCCCCACAGATATCCTGTTGTCATATCAAGTTAATCCCAGAGTTGGTTCGACCACATCTTGTATCTTTTAACAACAGTAACTGCTCATCGACTGAACTGTGACCATGACCAACTTTTTATCATACGAGCTAAAGAAAAGCAACAGGGGCCAGTGTCAACCAAAGAGCTTGGTTGCCATGGAAATCGCGAGTAGTGCGAGCACCGATATTTGGAGCGAGGAGCGAGTAGTGGAGCACCGATATTTTATTGATTGTATTGTGTTGTATATTGTATTGTATTTTTATACTGTTCTTATTGTTTTCTTAGGCATTTATGCCCTTGTTAGCCGCCCTGAGCCTTCGGGGAGGGCGGGATACAAATCTAAAGAATAAATAAATAAATAAATAATACATAAATAAATGGAGAGGTGGGGAGGGTGTGAGTTGGAATGTACAGTTTCGTTTCTGGCCATTATCTATCTGGTGTCTGGTATAGCCATGCAACCTTGAGGCCTGCTCTATCTTTAGTATCCCTTTCCCGCTGGGAATCTTAGAGCGTTCGTTTGGCTGGCTTTTAGCTTAGAAGTGATTGGCCAAGAGCCACTGATGTATTTTTGATTATAGTATAACTGCTGGCTTCGCGCACTGGACCTCAGTCCTAACAAAGTACGTTATGAATCTGGATCCTATTACGGTCCCAATAAACTTTTCTTCTTCTGAATGATTGTTATTGGGAACTGATTTCTCCAGGGCTCTGACAGCCAGTGGCAGACCTACATTTTTGGGACCCTGAAGCTCGAACTGTTATGGGGGGGCCCTTCTCAACCAGCAACAATAGGGCAACATCCAGCAAGCACATGAAACAGTCAATATTAAGTACTTCAACCCATTGGCTTATGATTCTGTCAATAATGGCAGGAGGTGATAAAGGCCTAAAGATGGCAGATCTCATCAGATCTTGGAAGCTAAATATTCTAAGAATCAACAGGAAGCTGCAAAAAGTGAGGTCAGATGGCAGGACATCATACTTTCAAAATCAGCTTAGCTTCATTCCCACATGCTTGTCTTCGCACAAAACATGTTAGATGGTTATAAGGGTCAAATACTTGTCTAAAAGTCTGGATGCATGTGGCTTGGCTGGAGCTTGGTGTGGACAACTAGGCTGCACATGAATGTGTGAGCAATACCAAGGATGGAACTTCGAGCATCACCAGCGTTGCTGGCCACCAAACCATGCTGAGAATAAAAATTAAAAAGGTCCCCAAGCAAAAATTACTTCACAGTGAACTATTAAATGAATCCACCAAGGAACCTCAAGCAAACGAGTTGAGGCATATGGTACTAAGAAAAGATGTGTATAAATGCACAGATTCTCCTCTATTGCTAGGCCACCAGCAAAATTCTATCCTGATCTCAAATGTGGTAATTGACAGTGAAGGAAGTTCACAGTTTGAGTGAACATTGCCTTCCCTCTCTGACATATCTCATGAACATTCCACCTCTCAATGATCTTATAATATGTCAGACCCGGTTGGCCTCTTTGATTCAGCCACGAGAAATAAAAATAAGTTGCTTCACTAAAAAAACCAAAAAAACCCCAAAACAGTGTTGGTCATGGTTAGTATTCGGATGGGAGACCGCTAAGGAATTCCAGGGTTGCTATGCAGAGGAAGGCAATGGGAAACCATCTTCAAGTACTTGAAAGACTGTCCTATAGAGGATGGTACAGAGTTGTTTTCTGTTGCCCCAAAAGGTCGGACCAGAACCAATAGGTTGGAATTAAACCAGAAGAGTTTTCAGCTAAACATGAGGAAGAACTTCCTGACCGTTAGAGTGGTTCCTCAGTGGAACGGGCTTCCTTGGGAGGTGGTGGGCTCTCCTTCTTTGGCGGTTTCCAAACAGAGGCTAGATGGCCACCTGACAGCAATGCTGGTTCCATGAACTTAGGCAGATCACGAGAACGGAGGGCAGGAAGGGCTGCATGAGTGCTTAGTTCTTGCGGCCCTTTCTTACACGCCCAGGGAAATGCTGATCGCCACTTTGGGGTCAGGAAGCAATTGTTCTCCAGACCAGTTTGGCCAAGGATCCTGGAGGTTTTTTGTCGTCTTCTGGGCCTGGAACAGGGGTCACTGTGGGTGTGGCGGGGGGGGGGTGTGTGGAATGCCCGCCATCTCGGAGGCTTGGACTAGATGACCCTGGAGATCCCTTCCACTCTATGATTCTAGGGTGTAATGCCATAGAGTCCACCCTCCAAGGCAGCCATTTTCTCCAGGGGAACCAATCTTGGTCATCTGGAGATGTCGTAATGGGGGGAGATCTCCAGGCCCCACATGGAGGTTGGTGGAGATATACATGGAGAGAGAAACCCAGGAGGCCCTCAACGTCCTTCTCTCCCCGAATACCATGTGCACTTTGCAAATATTAAAAACATTCTCAGCATCCATTTCCCTTTGCTACGCAGGAAACAGAATCCTCCAGAACGTTAACCTGCAGAGTGAAGCTTAATCATCTCGGGTCTTTGCATGATTTAGAGCTTTTTAATAATATACATGTCCAGACGTTATTGATCTTCAGTGCTTAAGTAGATGACGGTTATTAAATACAAACAGTCTCATATATGTGAGCTGTGCATAAAGTGATGTATTTATTGGGGAGGGAAAAATCCACCCCCCGAAGAGCTGGAGATGATTGAAAAGCCATGTTGG